TTTCTTTCTTTTTTTTCCCTTTCCTGCCAACAGGGGGAAGAAGACACAGGCATCAAGTTAGTGCTATGACTGATCATACACTGGTTTTCTAACCACGTGGAATGTGATTACAGCCTTCACGTCTCTCTGCTTTATGATTACTAAAGGCATGGCTCAAAAGGCTTTCATCTAACCACGTACAGCACGTGATCGTTTCAGGGTCCCAGCAGGTCAGCCGGTGTTGGCCGCTGGTCTGGCCCAGCTCTGTGGCACCAAATGTATTCACACCTGAAGCAGACAAATCAGCGTGAACACACTGGAGTCACGTTGCCCTGCATTCGTTGGTGTCACTGTGTTTTTCTTTAGATAAGAATAGCGCGATGTTATTAGTCTTTGTCCTTCACTTTAACACACATGCAAAAAGGAGACAAACAGTGGAAAAACAAAAACAAAACACTAATTCACTCTGAGGAACCACTGTTTGATGCACAACGGGAACGGGAGTGAAAAAAAAAAAGTTTTGCACTGTAAATTAGATTGGAGGTAAATGTTTCTTTCACTATCAAAGCACATTACTGACCTCTGGTGGTGGGATATAGTCACTGGCTCTTTACAAAGCTGTATGATGCGGGCTAACATTTACTTTTATGATCGTCTCTACATTAGTGAATTTCAGCGAAGTCCAAAGTTGTTACATTTTGGGAATGGGAGTTTTGCCAAATGGCGGTTGTGTATAGACAGATAGTCCTAAAAACTCTACTACTAGTTCTACTAACCCAGTGCCTCAATAAGTATTGGTTGTAAATGTAGATACTGTAATACTGTAAACCAGTGATCACAACTTGTGGCCTGCGGGCCAAATCTGTGCCAGGACTGGATTCCAAAAAAAAAAAACATCAAAAATCATTTTAGACAAAAATATGATTATTAATTCATTTTATTGGACTGTACTGCCCCCGGTGTCTGTCCATCATCTAGTCCTGTATGCCATTGGTTGCAGTTCTTCGATACATTTAACCAAGTCACTCACTAATGAAGACTTTTCAGTCTCACTGTGTTTCTGTACAGACTCGTTTGACTTGTGTTTCATTGGTGAATGACTTTCTGTTTGAGTGAATCATGTTTATAAACTTGCATATTAATAAAGGGACGTTGTTCGTCTTGGATGTTCACCGATTTGTTAAAGCTAATGCTAATCATTTTAACAGTGACTTTATGTCATTGCTGCTCATATGTGTAATATTTCTCTGTGATGTTGACAGGAAACCTGTTGTTGAGCCAGAGAACCATGCGTCACCACTGAGTGACGCTAGCAAGAAGCGTCTGATCGAGGACACAGAGGACTGGCATCCCAGGACAGGAACCTCCCAGTCTCGCTCCTTCCGTATCCTGGCCCAGCTCACTGGTACTGAAAACGGTACGTCCATAAGATTCTTTGTCTCTGTCTTCACCTTTGTCTCTGTCTCTTTCCTCCAATTATTCACCTGTGATTAAAATCACACTCTATGCAGATGATATTCCTTTGATATTGAGTGTTTTTTCAATTTTTTAATTACCAGTATATATTTTTCTTTTTTGTGTTTTTTTTTACATTAGTATTTTGACTTTAAAGGATCCTGACAGTTACATGAGAAGGATGCCCCCCTCTAGCATTATGTGTGTGTGTGGCTGTGTGTGTCGGTCTCATTTGTGCTAATGGGAAGTGACATTATGGCCTATTAGAATCAAGTTAGATGAGAGATTTACTGTAGCTTCTCTTGATTGAATTAACAGTCCTGTTCTGGTATTTTAATCTGCTTTTTTCCCTGCATCGAGACATCCAGACTTCTGCTTACACAGTGATGGAACTAAAGAGGAAAAAAATGCCTCTTTGATGCCAAAATAAATGTGGAACAGGTCGAGGAAAAGACTGATCTGCAGCCAGTCTCAACTTTACCTTATTATTCAATTATTTTAGTTCTTTTTTTCTCATAAGGGAAATTACTCTCTGCATTCAACCGTCCATGAAACGTTCCTGTGATTAACACCGAACACACAGGAGCGGAGAGCGGCGTGTTTTTATTGAAGTGTGTACTGGAAATAGGGATGGCTCTGATACCCATACTGCTACTTCCTGAACAATGTCATAATAATTAGTTCTTACCACCATCATTGAACCCATTTGAATATCACTGCGAGTAGAGCTGATTCAAAAAGCACAGTCGCAGTACCATCTTTGACCCTCTTGTTGATTAGTTTTATTTTTTGGGACAACTTAGGTTGTCAACGGGGGCTAGAAGGTGACCCCGGGCACCACGTTGGTGACCCCCTGGTTTTTGACATTTCATGCGATGTTGAACATTTGGGCTTAGATTTTGGATGAGATAGACTATTGTTGATTTATATTTTGATGTTCAATCCTAAAATTTTTAACATTTCTAATAGACTGGTGTTGAACTCTCGGTATTTGGTGTCTGTGTCTGTGGCAGGTATTCGGCCCAGACCAGTAAATTCCTGGAGTTTCTCACCAGTCTGTTAGAACTGAAGACAAATCAAAGTTGTTTTCAAGAAGTTTTATTATTATTTTAAGTTTTCTACTTTTTTTTTTTTTTTGCAGAGCAAGTTTCAGAGAACAGCGGAAAGAAGTAAGTGCTGAGTGTTTGAGATTTTCCCTTCTCTTTCTTTTTTTTCTTTCTACTAATGGTTGGATGGTAATAGATCTGTGTTCTTAATGGTGTAATTACAATTATGATATTTAAAGATGAGAGAAGTTTCAGATTTGGACCTGAGTCACTGAGGGTTTTCTTTTAATCACGACTCTGATTCAGAGTTAAGCTGGAATTTTTCTTCATCCTGTGATCCCACACACCGAGCTAAATTTTAGGCTACACTTCACTAGAGGCCGCACTGAGAGAGATGGTCCACTGGAGGCAGACGTTGATTCATCATCAGCTGCCGTTTTCCCTTTCAATCTGGTTTATACGGTGCCACAAACAGCCTGACCTTTATTAGAGATCGCCGACCAATCAGTGCACCACTGGAAACTGTGGCTAATCAGAAGGGATTGTGGGTAATGACAGCAACAGCAGAAGGAGGCTCCTGTTCATTAGTGAGGCTTTTTTAGGTCAGCAGAAATTTAACTTTATATCTGCCTTGGTTTGTAATCTAGCAGCAGCCAAAGGTGACTCTCTGACTGTGTGTTTTCTGTTTTGTTTCATCTTATAATCTTTCACATTTCCTTTTCCTTTTAATTTCTTTTCTTACTATTATTTTGCGGGCAAACGCAGAACAAACAAGCTGGATCTGGAGGTTGTAGGTCGCAAGTACAACAAACTGAGGGACTGGCACCATGACATTTCAGCACGAGTGCTAAATGTGTAGCAACGGCAACACAAAGACAACAGTAGTGTGTAGATTTATTTTTAATTAATTTTGTTTTTAAAAGTGACTTTACTCAAATATATATATATATATACACACATATATTTACAGATATAGTAACAGAGCTGTCAATGTTGATGTGGTAATGTCATCAATTAATTTGTGAAATTATCTTGATTAGAATTATGTAGCCCTATGTGATTTATATATTTACACTATTAATATATGTACATTTATGTATATATATACATACATATGTACATATATGTATATATGTACATATGTATATTTACATATATATAAAGAGATAGATATATATGTATATATGTACATATATTTATATATAGAGAGACATATATGTACATATATACATATATCTATCTATATATGTAACTATATATATGAGCTATATATTCTGAGCCCAGTATATCTATCTATATATATAACTATATATATATGAGCTATATATTCTGAGCCTCTTCTTTCCTCTGAATCTGTCTGTCCTCTTGCTTGTTTCCTGTTCTTGTATTTGTTTTCTATTCAGACCTGAGTTGCTGAACCTGTCGACCTATTCAGATTCTTTCTTATTAAACTTCTTTTCCTGACCTCTTGTGTCTTTTTCTTTCCCTCCTTGTTTTCATCAACATTTTATAACGGGCACAAAGGTCTTTACAGGACCAAAGGCCAAAGAGCACCAAGAATGAACCACAATAAACCGGTTCAGGTGCTACCATGTGTCTCAACTCGTGGTTCCTCCCTGACCCCTCACTCTGTCGACCTCTTAGTGAAAATGCTGTCATTTATAAAAAATATAATCAAATATCTTGAATGGAAATATCAGCTGCTCATATCTGCAGAAAAATATTAAAAGACTAAATCTCCACTCTGTGAGAGAAATGTCTCTCTGTTGTTTTGTATCTTTGTGGTGCAGCAGCTGGTGGTCAGAGGAAAACAAAATTAAAGGCAGTTAAAATTTTACAATATTCTCTCAGAAAAAATACGTACGCTGCTTCTGTTTCCCTCTTAAAAAAAAAAAATTCTACAGACGTGTTTTTATTTACCAGCAGTGATGTGAGGTACTTGAACCTTGAACCTTCATAGATATTATGTCTCTATAAAATAAGTGTGTGTCTGTATGTGTGTCTGTTCCTCAGTGACACACCTGAAAAACCCACTGCCGCCCTGCACACGTCGCCTGCGGCCAAAATGTACTCCAAATCTCCAGCCACCCCCAGGAACGGGAACCCCAGCCCCGCGGCCCAGAACAAGGCCTTGTACCAGCCTGGAGGTCCCGGAGGTAGGGTCTGCATTTGCACCTGCTTGTTTTGGCCAAAAGAGGGCAGTCACAGCCGTGTATCTGTAGCTGAGCTCCTGCAGTCGTTGCCAGTTTTGTAATAGATTTCAAGCCTATATAATGTTATGAGATCAATAAAAAAACCAGACGTGTCCTTTCAGCGACCGAGATTATGAGCTGTAGTTAATGAGATTATGAAAGGGAGCATTATTTATGGATTTAATTTTGCTAAAGGCGGCTGCTCTTTTTAGACGCCATGGCCATTAGAGAGAACTTTTCCTGAAAGGCATCAGTCAGGGAGGGTCATTGGAGCCACCGTTTGGACACAGTTTGTCACTCACACCTGAACAAAACCTCTGTGTCGGCCGGTGTTTTCCTCTGGAGGCTTCTCAACCAAATGGCTGTTTTTAAAACCCCCAGGCTAAGATTAGGTGAGGCCGTAAATAGTTGACTGTTGGCTGTGTAATTCATCAGATTAACACGTACTTAGACGGGCTGTAAACGGGCTCCAGTGTGGCGTCGGCACCACGTGGAACAGGTTAGTGGGCCGCTGAGGTGGAGGAGTGGGTTTCAGTCGATTAGAGGTAACGAGAAGAGATGAGAACGGAGGAGTGGGTCACCACACTGATGTCTTTGTACTCTGTAAAGACAGGATCAGTGACTGTACATAAGGAGTGGAGGTGATCGCCACTGAACCTCCACTAGGTTTAAATTAACTTTTTGTAATTAAAAAAAAAGTTTATTGGAAAATGTAGCCACGTTTTAAATAGAAACATCAATATTTTCTTTATGTTTTAGTGTGTCCCAAAAGGGGGGCCCACCCCCCACTTTGGGAATCACTGATCCGTTAGCAACTTTAATACAGGCTTCTATAACAACAGCTACAATCTGTATTAAATGTGGGCCACATGAAAAGCCAAGTTTAAACCAACGCTGAGTCATAAGAAAGAGATGGTTTGAAGAAGATGTTTCTAGAAAACCAAGCCCTGGATCCAATATAACACATTAATTAAAATACTGTATTAAGTTCAAATGATTTAATCTTCTGCATTTCTTCTTTATAAGAGTTTATATTTCCATAGTCATCATCAGCATCTATTATCTTTGTACGGTTAAACGGGAATTTCAAACTTGTTTCTCTCCGAACACTCAGTCGTCTGTGGCTCTTTAAATCTAAAGTGTTCCCAGGTTTTAAATTCTCCACATATGGAAACCAGCTCTGGTGTCCACACTACGGGCTACGGTACTGAGGTGTGTGACCAGGTGTATGACCATGTGACCTGTACCATGAATATTTACATTAGTGTCTGTACGAAACCTTATGTCAGAATCAGCTGTGAAATACATCCAATAATATGATTCAAAAATGTCAAGAAAACAATTAAACAAAAATTCTTTTGTTTAATTTTTTAACTCAAAAATTCAAATTCAGCCTCCTCCCCCCTCTGCCTCACTCCTTCCCTCCCTCCCTCCCTTTTCTCACTCCCCTGCTAGCCCCCCTCTCTATTTATCCTGTCAGTTTGCTCACTGTTAAAGAGAAATTTTGGGAGCGCTTGACCTCTGACCTCCCCGCCAGCCTTTGATACTACTCCTTTCTGTCAATAGTTTCTCTCACTCCATCCCTTGTGCCCCTGAAATTTCCCTCAGCCTTGACCTTTGACCTGGAGGTTTCAGTGCACCCAGAAGGAAACACTCTGCATCCTCTGCCGTGTTATGAAACCAGCAGAGCGTAGATTGTTTTTCGTGGGTATCGATTTTGTTTGCCTTCGTGAAGGGGGAAGCGGGGGGGAACCAAACATTCTGCCTCTCCGTCAGTGGCCGGGCCTTTTCAGGCCTCAGCACTGGAATAAAAACAACAAACCTTTGACTCTGACACAACATCAAGTTTTGGTCAATTACTGAGATTAGCAAAGAAATAAACAACGTTGAACAACACAGAGGCTGCACTCACATCCAGCCAGAGAGTCGGCACTAAAGAATGTATTCAGAGTTCCACTTCCTTATTTACTCGCTTTATTCCTGGAACTTTAACTCCACGTAATACTTCACGAAACGACACTCTCGCCGGGCATGTGCGTGCTTTTTTCCGTAAGATAATGAGACATAATTTACTCACTCGCTTTAGGTTTTCCAAAAGGCGGAGCTTCTCCTTCGTTTGGCAAAGTCACCGCTGCTGCTCCCAGAGGTCCAGACCGCCCCACTCCACAGCCACATCCAGAGGACATCAACTCTCTGGTGCAGCGGGCCGAGCACATGCCGGCCGACACTCGAACCCCCAAGTGCAGCAAGTGCAACAACATCATCAGGTGACTGGAGTTAAACGTGGGCCGAGTGTGGGAACTAGTTTAAACAACGTCAGTTGTGTGTGTGCCAAAAGAAAACAGTCAAAAAGTTCTAAGACAAAAGTAACTTACAGAATATATTTGAAAAAGTTTTATTTTCACAGCTTTTAAAAAAGGGCATACTGTATTTTCTTTATTAAAAATGCATAATAAGAATAGAATAGAGGCTGACAGGCTGAATGGGTGTTTTTAATATATAATTTTAATATATAAGTCAAACTTAAGTATAAGTCGCAAACCCAGCCGAAGGAGGTCAAACTTAAGTATAAGTCGAAAACCCAGCCCAAGGATGAAGAAAACTGCAACTTGTAGTTCTGAAAATACGATACATAAATGATTATTTGCAACAAGCAAATAATTTCACTTCATGTGACTCTTTGGTGCCCCCTAGTGGAGATGCGGCTCACCTTTTGAAAACTGCTGAATCAATGCAAACATTACATTTTAAACCACCGTGAATAAACACAGAATTATGGAACTTTACAAAGAACGTTCCATTCACAAAACTGAAAAGGAAGAAGAAAGGAACATGGATTTAATTTCTTTAACCTTTAACCTGGTTGATATTGAGCCCTGCTTTGTTTATTGATGAATAATCTTTCTTTTCGTCCGAGAACCTTTTGACTCCCCCAGTTTAGCTGTGTACTGACAGGACTTTCTGTGAAACCTGCAGATCATGTCATATGTTTCCTAGTTTTCTGACACTTTTTCAGTCCATTTTATGCATAAAAAACAAACACTAGTAGGAAACGTTTGGTTTGAAACGTCAGTAGAACTCACCGACCTTTGCCTCTTCCGACCAGGGGACCGTTCCTTGTGGCCATGGGCATGTCGTGGCACCCCGAGGAGTTCAACTGTGCTCACTGCCAGTCCTCCCTGGCAGACCGAGGGTTTGTGGAGGAGAAGGGCCAGGTGTACTGCGTGACGTGCTACGAGCAGTTCTTCGCCCCGTCCTGTGCTCGCTGTAACCAGAAGATCTTGGGCGTGAGTTGAAAAAATCTGTTCCTTTGTCCTGAGAACACTTTCTTTCCTACAAACACTAGTTCTGGTAGTGATGGTTTATTTTTAAAGAACAAAAAGTAAATAAGAAGAAGGGAGAGGAGGAGGAGGAGAAGAAGAATTAGAAGGTGTGGAAGAAGACAAAAAAGGTGGAGGAGAACCATCTTTATAGATCTATTTCGTCTTCTAAATTCATCTTGGTTGTCAACATTTCTGATTCTCTGACAACGAGGGCCTTGAACTGCAGTAAAAAATGCTTTTCCTTCGAGCCGGAGTTGAACCAGCGACCTAAGGATGACTATTACAAGCCCACTACAGTCCTCCGCTCTGCCAGCTGAGCTATCGAAGGGATATAAAAGTATCCCATCCACCAGTAAATTTGTCTGAAACTTGTGCAATGAAGGATCGCGACTCATACTTCACTTCAAACGGATTAAATCAAAACAGACTTTTAACATAAAAAACAAACATTTCTCAGTCCAGGAACGTAAAGTCAGAGAGGGTTTTTTTAAAATAATTTTTTTTGGGCACAAGATCATCAGCGATGCACAGGAAAACAATGAGAACATGAATAAATATGAACTTAGCAAGCAAAAATATTTTTTCATCACTGTTCACCAAACTAACTTAGGTTGCATTACTCCCCCCTACTGGGCTGAAGTGTGTGCAGCAGTTTTAAATGTGAGAACTAAGAAAGTTTTTTTATTAAACCGGCCCATATTTTGTCTTTAATTATTAATGAAAATAAACACATTATTCCCCCCAGCCTTAGTTTGGACACACCCCACGTCCCCCCTGTCTTATCTGGTTTACGTCTCATATAAAAGTCTCGCACCATATTGCGACAATGAAATATTAACTGCGGCACGCTGTGTCCCATTTTTCTCCTCCGCAGGAGATCATGAACGCCCTGAAACAGACCTGGCACGTGTCCTGCTTCGTCTGCTCTGCCTGCCAACAGCCAATCAGAGGCAACACGTTTCACATGGAGGACGGACAGCCATACTGTGAAAGAGGTGCAGCTCCAAACAGAGGACTGTTATTGGTTCTTGGAAGTTCTGTGTGTGAAGATACAGTACACAAGTAATACTTTGTATCTTTTTATGTACTTTTTTTCCTCTCAGATTACTATAACCTGTTTGGAACCAACTGCCACGGCTGTGACTTCCCCATCGAGGCGGGGGACAAATTCCTAGACGCCCTGGGATTCACCTGGCACGACACCTGCTTTGTGTGCACGGTAGCTGGACAGACGCACCACCCACCGAAGACTGACAAACCACGATTAATAACAATCATTTGTAATTAATCACGATCACTCAAGATTAAGCAACATTCCTATATAGGACCAAAATATTTTTAGAAACAGGAAGTAACAGCAGGCAGACGTCTGTGATTCACACCTGTCTTTATCTGTCTGGTCAGAGGGCAAACATACGACCCGCGGGTCAAAACCGGCTCACTAGGGGGTTCAATCCGGCCCACTTGATGAAGTTTGAAGGTGGAAAAAATGAACAAACACTTCCTTGCAGGCAAACTTAACCAGTCTGCGGTCCCTCACAATCCACTCTATATACAATAAACACAACACACTTTAACCCTGATTCATTTTACTATTTAATTAGCAAGATAATTATTGTTCACAGCTGTATTTCAAACTAAAAAAGTTTTTTTTTTTTTTTTTAACAACACTGCCCTCTGTCTGTGTCCCACAGGTCTGCTCTACCAGCCTGGAAGGTCAGCCATTCTTCTCTAAGAAGGACAAACCTCTGTGCAAGAAACACGCTCACACTGTCAACATCTGAGCGTCCATGTCCTTCAGATGTTCAGATATTTTTCTGAAATGGAAAAAAAAAGAGAAGTCTGGTTCATCTGTTAATCAGATCAGATCAGTGGAATCACTGATTATTTTTAAGCTTTTTTTGGGGGGGGTTCATAGGATTTTTTTCTATCATCATGGCTTCTTGTTCTCTTGTCTGTTGTATGACTTTTTTTTTTTTTTTTTAATATTTTTTCGGCACCAACATATTTACCCGTCTACACCTTGACTGCAGTGACCTACTGAAGCCCAGGGCTGTAAGTTATTACCTACATCTTTACAACAGTCACAGTTATGGCAATTTTAAAGTTGAAATAGTGATTGATTATAAAAAAAAAATAGAAAAACTAAAAAAAAAAAGTATTTTTAAGCAATACAAAAATAAAAAAGAGTAAAGTAGTGAGATATTTACATCCAAGTGAAAAAGAATTATATTATGAAAGATGTGCTTAGTGAGAAAGAACTGATTAAAATCAAGAGTTCAAAATTGACATATACATATACATACATATACATGTATACATATATTTGTGTATACGTATACACAGTATGTATATACATAGATGTGTATATATACAATATCCAGTATATATACACACATACAGTGTGTGTATGTATAGATATATATGTATGTGTACATATACATGTATATCTAATATTTATATCTAATATTATATATATAATAATTCAGTGGAATTCCTATGTTATATAAGTCATATATAAGTCTATGTATATATAGACTTATATATGTGTGTGTATATATTATCATATATCCATGTATATGTATATATGTGTATGTATATAGTATATAAATATACACATATATGCATGTATATGTATATATGTTAGTGTATATAATAATATACACATACATACATATATAAAAATATATATACACATATATCTAATATTTCCAGACCCTCCTCTGGTTTAGTCTCTGGGGTAAACACAGGTTTACAGTCATTAGAAACCTCTTATTTTATATTTGCCCATTTTATGATGTTTCTTTTTCTTTTTTTTTTACTTTAAATTATATTAATATATATTTCTTCCAGAACCTGCAGCTGGCCTTTCCTCCTGATTTGCACAATTTTCATGTACATAAAGAAAATGTAACAAAACGATGAATGTGTTTATTGAACATCCTGTCATTAGACTGTGGACCAAAAACGTCTTCTCTCCTACATTTCATTGAATTAAATAAAACAGTTTATCAACCAACGTCGATCAGCAGCACAGAACGTACTGTTTTTTTGTTTTTTTTTGGACACGCTCTTGTTTTAGTCTTTTGACAGAGAGAGGTCACCAGACACCTGTTGGTCACACTGTCTGCCAACCAACATACCAACAGTATAAGGCAATGTCCAAAGTTATTTATAAATAGAGTTTTTTTCTTTTATTCTTTTTTTTTTTTTTAAAAGATGCTTTGTCTTAATTTGTATCGCATAAACAGTAAAACTCTTGGCATTTTGTTGGCATTTTTTGTTGTAAAAACTTGACTTGACTTTGACCCAAATTAACTTCCTGCGACCCATTTTTGGGTCTTAACCCATTGTTTGACCAGGTCAGGAATAAGTATTTTTTTTATTTTATTTTTTTAACTTTCACCAAACGGTGCAGTGAAGCGAGATGAAGTGATTTTGAGGTCGTATGTATGTATTAAAGTGCACTTCTCTGAGCAGCCAGGGGTGGGCGCTGTGTGCAGGTTTACCTCACACCAAAGCAGCACACACGAAAAAAAAAAAGAAAGCCTCCGCTGTACTTGGAAAAACTCTGAGACCAGACAGTGGAGGAGCACAGGCGGAGGAGAACTCCTCTACACACGGTTCCAGCGGAGCACGAGGAGGAATGTGATGTTTGTGAAGGGAGCAGGAGAAGGAGAAGAAGAAGGAGAAGAAGGAGGGTTGATGGTTGAACCGAGCTGCGAACAAACGGGAAGAATCGCCGCCGTGGTGTGTGTCAGCTGCAGCGCGGAGGGCGATGATGATGGTCGTGGTCGTAGTGGTGTGTTGATGGTGTCTTCGATTCATTTATACACTGAAAGTTAGTGAATCCTCGTCGTTTCTGGTGTTAATATTTGTTAACCTGTAGCTGTTGTTGTGATTGGTCGGTGGAGTGTTACCAAACAAACAGCCCTGTGTTTGGATGAAGTGTTAACAGGAGTCCGTAGTGATGATGATGATGATGATGATGCTTATCGGCGGTGAACACTGCGTGGTTCTCAAACTACGGTACGTTTATCATTGGTAGCACGTGGGCTTCTTGTAGCAGGGGTCTGGAACCTGTGGCTTCTGGGTCTGTAGTGATCCTGTCAGTGGTTTAACAAAGAAATCATGACTGATACTAGACAGAAAACGGATGTAATTTAATACAAAATTGAGATTAAAACGATTTCAATCGTCAGCTTGAACTAATAACAAAACATAAAGTCAATGTCCTCCACGTGACACGACCAGGTGTGTACTTTGGTGTTGACCAATCAGTTTTGACTCCAGGTTGGTGTGTGAATGTTGTGAGTGTGTCCTGTCAAAAAGTGAAATGTGTGTGAATTTATTGTTGTGTTTAGAATTTTTTTTATCCTGTGTTTTTCAGCACGTTAAACGACAATAAATTATCAGCGGGTTTTTTTTCCTGTACTCCTTTGTGGTCTTTATAGTTATATTTTCTAAAAAAAAAAAAAAATCTCTAGATCATCTGTTAATTTCCAGTAACATGTACAGTGATTCATGGATGTTAGCTT